ACAATGCTGAAGGGGATGAAATTGTGTAGTCTACAAATATCAACCACAAAAGGTTGTCATTGCTTCTTGAATTCATCCAGATATTGATATATTTATGACTTTTTAAAATTTATGAATAGCCAAGGCAAATATTAAAATGAAATGTAAAACTTATGAAGATGTATTTGAATGTTTCAAATGTGTTGCCTTAAAATCATTGCTCTATGCTTACACATTATACCACAATCTAGAGAAGGAAAATATTATATCACCCAGTGGGTTGTTATAAAGATTGTTTATGAAGTTGAGCCTAAGACTTAAAATACATTGAATTGAGGAGTTCTGAAAAATGAACTGTATGACATGGGAGACCAAATCATGCTAAAGTGCAGGGAAAGACTATACATCAGTTCAAAGGCTACATTATTCAAAAAAATACAACCATAAAAAAGTAATAAGATTACATTCTCACACTTCATGGCTAGTAAGGTGCATTAGGCTGCTCAGATATTCATAACTTACGGTGACATTTCCCGAGATTACATTTTGCTGTGCACAGCCATTACTGCAGCTCAGATAATAAGTAGCCGGTGTACAGACCTGGATTATGTGATCCCTGTCTTTGGTAGCAAATTTGTTTCTTGAAGGTTGATCAACTTCAAATTGCCATTAGAAAGGGTTAATATGACATACTGTAGATATGTGTGCTTATGTCCGTCCATAATATGTTTGCATATTACTACTATATCAAATTCACTTCAAATTGCATGTAACTGTTTACCATATTTTCTTAAAGTAATTTCATAAAACACTTAAATGTGAGATGTTTAAGCCTTGTATCTGGCCCTAAGAATGTATGATTTCTAATAGGGAGTGAATTATTTGTGTTTTGCAGATTAGATAGAAAAACTAATTTGTCAACTTCTTGGATGGGTGGTTACTGACAATGGTGCATGTAGCCAAAAGTGAAAGATGAGTGGTAGAGAATTGAGGTGAAGGTGAGGTCACTTTAGTTAACAGCAAAATGTATGGTTTACAAAATGTTGGCATGGTAGCTGATGGTCAGTTTGAACCAGATTCATTAACTTGTAAGTGTAAGAAACCACTGAGCCAGGGCTTTTTTTCCCCTTATAATTTTATACAGAGATTGGCATTGGCCCATATCGTTCTATTATTGGTCCATAAGTATAAATTCAAGTGATGCTTGTGCAAATTCATAAGTTACATAATATTTTTAACAGCTGCGCCAATGTTACATTTCTGTTAGATGCACATTAGAACTATATAATAGATGTGCATTATATTAGTATTACTGAAAATAAGTTGCTGTTAGTTCAGATAAAGTGGGCTTAATCCATGAAAACTCACATTAAAATATAATAGTCTTTAAGTTCCCACATTTTTTTGTCTTGTGTTTTTTTTCCCTTTGGGTTTTTCCTGACATACTTAGCTCAGATAAAGTTGAATTAGTTTCTTATTTGTTGAATTCCTTTGAAGAAGATGGTGCATTAAGTTGGCTGTTAAGTTTTGTTTCTGTGCCACCTTTATGCTGGTTTAGGAAACCAAGGTGGCTTAAGAAAATGATCAAATACATTTCTATGTTCCTGCAGCTCTCCCCTTCCCCCCTCCTTTGAAAATCTTACTGCATGTATTTTTCTTATTTTTTTCTTTCTAAGAATCAAAATATTGCACAGAGAAAAGCTGGTGTTTTGGAGAATGTCTTCTCCCCCCAGACAAACTATTAAAGTCATAGAAACAGTGACTATACATTCTTCTTTGCAGTCTGCCTGCACCTTACCTCTTGGGGTTACTATTTCTTCTGTCTTACATTTCCCCTTTTCCTTTCAAGCATCTCTCACTCCCCCCAATCTGAGTATTTCTGCTATATTATCTCTCCTCTACTCCACTCCTTTCAGTAAGAGATTTCACACATATAGTTTTGCCACATGTGCCTTAGAGCAGTGGTCCCCAACCTTGGGCCTCCAGATGTTCTTAGACTTCAACTCCCAGAAATCCTGGCCAGCAGAGTTGGTGGTGAAGGCTTCTAGGAGTTGTAGTCCAAGAACATCTGGAGGCCCAAGGTTGGGGACCACTGCCTTAGAGAGAACGGCATAGCCTTCACATTCTGTTCTTTCCTATAGTGCCATTTCCTCCTTCATTTCTCTCCATTGTGCCCTTTCTGCTGTTGCAACCACTACCACAACGGTGCAACAGCCCCATTGCTCTTCATTATGAAGAGTGGGAGTAGAGAAAATGGCACTGGTTAGAGTTAAATAGAATTGGCTACCTAAGTTCCGTGATGGCTGAAGTTAGATATAGTGATTTAAAATTTAACTTCTTAAGTCCAATTGTCCTACCACCCCCATATTTCTCTAAAGTCAACTTTGCATCTTGTGTCACCTTAAAAGAATGTTTTTGGTGGTATAATCTTTTGATTGCAGCCCACTTCATCAGATGCATAAAGTATACATTATAGCTCACCAAGTAACTGCCTGAGGTGAACAAACTGTCTCCTCTGGCTTCTGGTCTTGAACCTCTGCCTGCTTGATTGGATGTTATACTTATCATGCAAATTTCTTCATCTGGGACTTGAGATAATATATACCTCGCCCATGGAAGCTATGATTAGGGCCTTGGTCACAGTATTTTTCAAGCACCTTACCTGTGTGTGTCTCTGTGTGTGTGCATATGCATGTGCATGCATGCATTTATCTATTTATAATATTTTTATCCCATCTTTATCTTTAAAAAGGATCCAAGGTGGCTTACACCATTAAAAGACAATATTTAAAGCTAATAACTTAAGTATATACAGTAAGTACTAAAAAGGATCAAACAAATACCACACTAAAAACGGTAAACAAAAGCAAAGCCACATTCAAAGCAAAGTAAGGTACAACAAACAGACATTGACTACTCTGTTTTTTATTGAAAACTTAGTTCTATCCTGGCTTTTCCACAATGGTATTTTTGTTTGCATACTGCTTAGAAATTTATAGTAAGCAATTTATAAATATCAGAATATAAATAAATAACTAAAATAAAAATAGCATGCGCTTTTGGGTTGTTGATAGTCACTGTTTGAGCAGGTATTCTAGTTAGATGTCTTGCTTTACTTGGTCATCACTTGTGGCAGGTGACACGTCTGCCACAAGGTTGCTCTCTGATCCTGATATTGCAATGGGAGGTAGAGAACATAGTTCCCTAAGATTTAGTGCCAGTCCACCTAAGATTTATTAGTTAAAATAATGCTAAATTATGGCTTGAATCAGTTACATGATGGGTGTGTAGTGACCAACTCTGCTAGAAAACATGTACCACCAGCAGCTTTGAAACACTCCCCTAGGCCTGCCATTTTTGCACTAGTTTGAAAAATGTCTGCCAATGCATTCTGCTTTCATTAACTTGTGTGAAGTCCAGCAACACAAACACAGAGATTTACCAAAGATACCACTTGTCAGATAATATCTTTGTCCCTCAACAAGGAACCTTGGTTTGCTTATACTACCAGTTTTAAGGGGGGGGGGGGAAGGCAAATGCTACTTATTTGTTCGCTTCCATTGTCATTGTATTCTCTTCCCAAAATCCAGGTACAGTCAGTAGAGCTTTCTAATCTTGAGGTACATGACATTGTGGCTGATTTATGGTGAGAGTGCTGAAGAATGTGCTTTCCCAACTTGCATATTTCTCCAACACTTCAGATCTTGAGTAATGAGTGGAAGCTGCTGGACAAGCAAGAAAGAGTGACTGTTTTGGTGAATTTCATATCAGAATGAATGTATTTTAATAGAGAAATACTATCAGATTAGTTTCTGTTAAGTTATAGATCATCAGTGCTAACATTATACAGTACATCCCAGACGGATGTCATACACTGACTTAAATACAGCTTTTTGTTTGATGAAACATGTCTTCAGGTGGCAGGTAGTATTAGAGGCTGTGGATAGTGAGGGACAATTCATTCTCATCAGTTTGAGGAACATGCAAGTGACATGTAAAGGAAGATGTGAACTGCAGATAATTGGTAGGGCTGGGCATGGGATCTCATGTAGAGAAAACCATAGCAATATCCACGGCTCTACTTTGTGATATCTGTGCAGTCAAAACATATCGGTTCTATGCCTATATAAAGTGCTCCATTCAGAAGCTTCTGTTACTAGGTGAGTTTTGCCAGTAGATGTCTGCCCGTACCTGAATTACATGCTCAAGGAGAACCATTGCTGCCTTTCATTCCTTCTCTGACCATCACAACAGTGGCTTCAGAGATTTTTTTTTTGGCCAAAGAAAAACAATGATGAGGTAGTTGTCCTTTTTGTATTATTATATCCCCTTTGTTCTGTTTTCCTAGTTTTCCCTCCATTGTCAGTTTTCAGTTTTATTAGTTGTTGATGCCACAATGTTTTATCTGTTAGCTGTTTTGGGCTTGACTGCCTTTTCACCCACAGATGATTTTTTGCTGAAAGCAAGCCAAAGCTTTTTTGGATAATCACCATCTTTGGCTCCATTGTTTGGGTGAGAGTCGAATCTTCTTGTCTGATAAAACAAAGCCTTTCTGTTCTGTGGAAGGAGATAACAGATTATGATAAATCTTCTAGAGGTGAATGTTGATGCTTTGTTCACACCAGATTTATTGGAACACTTCTTAACAGAGCAAAAGGCCATCATACCCTCAGATTTGGTGGATTGCTCAACTCATCAGGGACTGCAACCCTTGCTTGATGATTGTCAGTTTGGTGCCTCTGCTGTTAAGACTGTTTTTGCTTCAAACAGCAAATTGCCTTTCTCAGTCCACATTGAGCTCAATAAGACCTACGGTATTCCTGAAGACACACACATGTTGAATTATATTGCCCAGTTGATTAGTTCTTTGTTTAGTTTATCAGTCTAGTCTAATCTGAACATTCTGTTGATGCCCACAAGCTTTTGTAGCATGTAGTGATGAAGACGGAAATGCTGTTATTGTGTAATATAAAGATTACAGAAGAGAAAGTGTGCTAATGGTGGTTCTTTTTAAATTAAAGCTTGTAGGAGGCCACTTTGATCTGGAAATGAACTTTATCATACAAGAAGGTGAGAGTATTACCTGCATGGTGGACTTGTTGGATAAGTGTGATGTCACTTGCCAGGCTGAGGTGTGGAGCATGTTTACAGCCATCCTGAAGAAAAGTATACGAAATCTGCAAATTTGCACAGAAGTTGGTCTTGTTGAGCAAGTACTTCAGAGAATTGATAAGGCTGACAATATGATTGCAGGTGAGTTTCTCTAGAATTTAGAATAACTTCCATTATATTAAATTAATAATGTCTTTTAAATTTACTTTTTATGGGTAAAATGAAATGCAGGTATTAGCTCTAAATCTAATAACTTGTTTTTCACAGATCTCTTAGTTGATATGCTTGGAGTATTAGCAAGCTACAATGTAACAGTTCGGGAGTTAAAGCTGTATTTCAGCAAACTTCAAGGAGAAAAAGGAAAATGGGTAAGTAGAAATTTACACTAGGAAGAATCAACAATCTTTATTTCATTGAAAGGGGTTTAATTCAGGTGATGAAAGAGGCTTTTATACAATTTATACATTTATTTTAAGTTTGACAGAAGGATTTGAACATTGAACAGTGGAGAATGTTTTAACCAGATAGTAAAATAAACAATTGATGCATGTCTGTCATTCAGCTCCACATGATGCATCGTAGACCGTGTAAACCTTTTGTTACTTTCACTGAGCTGGCATAATTACATCCTAGACCGTTAATAGGTTGCAATTACTTTATTACCTTCAAAGACAAACATTAAATAATACAATACAGACCAGAACAGAATTATGCAATATATATTATAGGATGTATGCTGTCACTTGGATAGAATAGCACTATTGTAATTTGTAAATGAATAAAAGTACTAAAAGTCTACAAATTCTTAGTTATGGGTAGTCACTGCCTATCGTATTAAAATAATGAGTGAGCTTATGTGCAAAATCTTTTTCTAACTAGCCTCCCCATGCTGGAAAACTGTTGTCTGTATTAAAACATATGCCTCAGAAATATGGACCTGATGCCTTCTTCAACTTTCCAGGAAAAAGTGCTGCAGTAAGTAATTTTCAGTGTTATGCTTCTATTCCTTTTGCTTTCATGTGTGTCTTCTAATGGTTAGCCTGATTAAATGATCCCCTTTTCCCAGCAGTAGATAGTGCTATGAAAACATGATACATAGGAAATCTGATACATCAAATTTCACCGAACCATGGGTGAAAATTTATCTTTATGCAATTGTATTTCTGAAGAAAATGTAGCCATGTCTTATAGCAAAGCTATAAAAGCAAACTGCTCTGCCGTACCCTCTACCATTTATTATAACTTAATACAGGGTGTGTGCCATGACACACTTGTGGCCTCTGCAGTACCCCACAGTGCCGCCAAACCCAGGCAGCAGCATGGCGGAATCTTCTCTCTGTTTCTTTGCCCAGCCGGTGCTGTTGCTGCTGCCCTTCCAACTCTGGTTTCGGCTGCTTCGCGGTTCTTTGCTTCCTGCTCTGTCCTGCATCCCTTGCCACCCGTCCTGCTTTGTCACCACTGCTGCTGCTCAAGGGGGCTGCGAGTTGGAAAAATTTGGGAACCACTGACTTAATAGGTTGAGTGTACATGCCTACGTCAATTGAACTCCCATAGTACTTGTGGGGAATGTCATGTGCTTTACCTTGAATTGTTGAAATTGTTCCTGTAAAACAAGGGCAATTGGCCTATGTGGATAGTTTTCAGGTCCCTGTCCTGTTTTTCTTTTACTTCCCCCCCTTTCCTTTCCCTTTCCTTTCCTTTTTGTTTCTGCCTTCATTTGATACATATTGGTATACCCTTCATTTTTAAAATCAGTTTTATTTTACTTAAAAATTGAAAAAGAAAAAAAATGGAAGGGAAAAAACAAAAAGGGAATGTAGAAAATTTGAGATATATATGTAAAATAGAAATATAATATAATGTTTTAGGCATATACATTAATATAAATGCATGTAATTAACCATGTGTCCAAAAATATCTGTCACTAGGAGTTGACATTGACAGAATACATATGCAGCTAATGTAGTAAGATCTTCTGAACATTGAATGACAGATGTTGTATGATTATCTTTCCAGCTTTTTGGCAATGGTGAGAGTGTGTAAGGTCCAGGCATGTTAAACACCAGTTAATTTCCAAACTTCAGAAACATAGTTTAAAAGTACATACATATCTGCAAATATAAAGGATTTTTTTAATATGAAATGAATTCACTGTAACATACCTTACCAAAAAAGGCTATCACTGGAGATAACCCCATCATAAGCCTCAAAGAAGCATTACTGGTATTTTATCACCAACATTTAGCTGAAATGACCAGTTTCTTTCTAAATAGATGAAGTGTGCACAATGTTTTTGCTGAACCAAACATTGCTTTAGATCTAAAGAGATTCTAGATATTGGAACTAGAGCAGGCTTCCATTGGTTAACTTGCATTGAATAGTCAAGTTCTCTGTTACAATATTTTGTCATTTTTAAAACATCAAATTAAGTGTTTTCCAATAGGCACTTGGTTGATAGTTTCAATCTCTTGAAGAGGCTTCCTTACAAGTTTGCTACCTTAGTAAAAGCAATAGGGATTCCAGTTGAAAATTTTTTGACCATTTATAGAGATCAGTAATTTGCTACACAGGCAAAATGCAGTTGTTTACAGTGAAGGGAAATGTAAACAACTGACAGAAATACAAATATAGGGGGAGCCAAGAACCGTACCACACATGCTGGATACCAACAACACTGATACAGTGGTGCCTCAATTTACGATCTTAATTGGTTCTGGAACGCCAGTCGTAACTCAAAATGGTTGCAAGTCAAAGCAATATTCACCATAGGAATGCATTGAAATGCAACTAATCCATTCTGGCTGAAGACCCCCCCCCCCAAAACTGCAAGACCCATCGGCAATGCGATTAATCTGTTCCAGCCGAGGGGGGGGATAAGAAAAGCAAACAAACCATGCAAGATCCTTCAGAAATGCAAAAAAGCAAAGCAAAAAGCAAACAAACCCCACAAGATCCATCAGGAATGGGGGGGGCCCCGAATAAGCAAACAAATTCCTCAAGACTCATCGGAAATGGGGGAAAAACCCCAAAACAAACTCTGCAAGACCCATCACAGCATAGAAACATAATTCCACCACCCAGCCCAAAAACCCACCCAGAACAGTTTTTAAAAAGTAGAAAGCAGCACCTTACCTTACCAGGCAGTCCGAAGCCAACTCCAATGGCACACTCTCTAACCGCTGCGGCAAAAGAACTATAAAGAAGCAGCCTCTTCGCCACCAACGGTTAGCAATTTGAATTCCCCGCCTTCCCCCCCGCCTTTTTCTGGTTGTAACTCTAAGCTCTGGCTGCAAATCGAAGCAAAATTTTGCAGCCCGAGCTGGTCGTAACTCGAAATGGTCGTATCAGTTTTGCAGCCTGAGCTGGTCGTAACTCGAAGTGGTCGTATAAATCGAGGCACCACTGTCCTGGGCACCAGATCTAAACAAGTAGCTAGCATGTAGCCCTGCAGCAGCACCACCAGGGAGAACATGGATTTTCTTCCATAGATTCAAACTGACTTGGCTGGATCAGAACACTGTTAAACAGTTTTCATGTGTATAGTAATATGTTTAAAGGCTAAGAAATGTATTTTGAACTTTCATATATGTTTACTTCTAAGAACTTAGATATTGTAAGAAATAAACTCTCTGGTTTTTATTGTACCTCTTACGGCTATATGCACCTGTAGTTTTTGGATTGAAATATGATTTAAGCTCTTGTCTGTAACTAAAAACTTACATATGAAATATATATATTACTTAAGCATTTGCCTGCAACTTAAGTTTTGCGGTTTTTTGGGGGGGACATGGTGGTGCTGCGGGTTAAACCGCAGAAGCCTCTGTGCTGCAAGGTCGAAAGACCAGCAGTCGTAAGATCGAATCCATGGGACAGAGTGAGCTCCCGTCGCTTGTCCCAGCTCCTGCCAACCTAGCAGTTCGAAAGCATGCAAATGCGAGTAGATAAATAAGTACCATCACAGTGGGAAGGTTCCGTGTCTAGTTGCGCTGCCCACGTGACCACGGAAACTGTCTATGGACAAACGCTGGCTCTAAGTCTTGGAGACGGGATTTAGCACCGCCACCTAGAGTCGAACACAACTGGACATGTGTCAAGGGGAACCTTTACCTTTACCTAAGTTTTGATTTTAGAGTATTTCTTATTTTTAACTTCTCATAGTTGCAGGATTTTTTAAATGTCAATTACACTTGCAGCTTTCCACAAGTTGCAAGAACAGGTTTCTGTTTAAGTATATGTGCTTAAAGATTTTCTCATAGCTGTAGGAATGCTTTCAATTCAATTGAATTTTTTTTTTTTTACTTTTTGGATTTCATTTTATGTTTATGGAACATAACATTTATGTAGGTAAATAAAATGTGTCGAAAGTAACAAGCTGATGTTGCATAGAATCATTCCAACAGTGGAGCAACTTGTTTTACCTTGATACTCAGATGAATTTTGATATGATTTGAAAGATTGTTTGGTTCACACTGAGATTAACCCTTTTAGGATTGGATGCCAGCTGTGATTAACAGAGGTTCTGATTTTTCCTAGAGGGCTGTAAATGTCTATAGGGCTGTTATGAAGGTGTCTAGGCATCCGACTTTCTGTTCTGTTACTGCAATATTGAAATACAGGCCTATAGATATATTTCATTGTTTTGACAGAAACATAAATATAGATAAAATATCAGAATGGTTCTACATAAGAATGCAGCATTAAGGAATAATGTTAGTTAAAAATTTATTGCATTTATGTACTTCCAGACGGTGTCTGCTCACAGATGCAAACTGGTTACTGATAGATTCTCTTTAGAAGGATTTATGGCATTGTGTTTGGAAAGCGATATCTGCACAGTTTAGCAATGTAATGAGGAGTCTGCTGACACCCAAGTTCTTTGATGTTTTTGTTCATTATTGTTGATCATCTGGACAGTGTCTTTGACTCAAGGATTACAGAAATCTGTGCTGAGATTTGCATTGCAAGTCTGTGAAGTGCAGCAGGAGGAATTGTTCACTATGCGGTATAGTATTTGAAAGACGCTGAAATGCCTGGGAAGAAAATAGTTCCACATACACCTTTTAAGAGCTTTTTGCGGAAGCACAGTGTTTTGGCTTGAAAAGTATTGTTGAATTTCCTTGCCTGCATGAAAACAAAGTCTTAGTTTTATTTGAATACTTAAGTTTTCTGACAGTGTAAAATGAAATAATATGCAAGAAGTCAAGAAACAGTGCATGTTGCTTTTTGATAGAAAAACTCTGTTACTAGAGTTTTAAGCATTTCTTAAATATTGGATGTAATATGATAGATTATTTTTACAAATGTGAAACAAAGACTATAGTGAGGTGTGTTCCTTATTATGGCCTGTTGTGAATGTGCATCAGTTGTACCTGATGTTAACCATGTATAAATCTTTCATTGAATCGTTGCTAATTCTGCAACCAACATGACTTCCTTTCTGATATTGACTATTTTATTCTAACTTACTTCTTTTAGGCTATTGCCTTACCTCCCATAGCCAAGTGGCCCTATCAGAATGGGTTCACCTTTCACACTTGGATAAGAATGGATCCTGTGAATAATATCAATGTAGACAAAGATAAGCCTTATTTATATTGGTATGTATGTGTGTTACTTTGTATCTCCTTCAACTTGTTTCGTTTTTGTTTGGTTTTAAAGATGTCTTCATGCACAATAGCTTATATAATTGTAGCTTATTCACTGTGACTAATAAACTATATTGTGTATAGAAACTTGTGAATAAACGGTGAATCTAATTATTTTACATAATGTGTTTCAGTTTTCGAACAAACAAAGGACTGGGTTATTCTGCACATTTTGTGGGAGGTTGTTTGGTTGTCACCTCGATTAAATCAAAAGGAAAAGGCTTCCAGCACTGTGTGAAATTTGATTTCAAGCCACAGAAGGTGAGTTTTGTCTTCATGTTAGATATCCTGCGAATGTGAATTTTGAGTGTAGAATCTTTTTGTGGTGGTGTCTTTTCTAGAGAAAGAAATGACATCTGGTTCTAGTGGTGTTGGGAGTATGTTATTGCTTACTCTGCTCTGCCTTCTGTCTTTTACAAAGGAGAGAGATTGGAGATCTTGATGTGTGGGTTTAATTTGCAGTTTAAAAGATGTAAGATCATCAGAGGAGACTGTATTTCAACTACTGTGGGTGCACCATGTGTCCATAAGCAAGAGAGATTTCTCAGTCATGGCATTCTAGCTGTGACATATCCCCCCCCCCCCAAGGAACACACAGTTGTTTTGGCACCAGCTCAAAATCAGTTCATCAAGGCACTTTACTTGGCTTATTTGGTTGTTGTTGTTTTCGTTGCTTCTTCATTTTGATATGTTTTGGAGTTTATATTCTTCAGTTATACCTCATCTTAATGTAAATTATTTGTAGGAAGGAAGAATGGTTTAAACATGCTTTAATAAATAATAATAATGAAAGACAAAATATTCTCTAGATTTAGTAGAAAGTTACTTCCTTCAGTTATTCATCCACTCACTAATACTTATGACAACCTTTTCAGAAGATGACTTCAGTGTCTATGCAAAAAGTGTTTATTTGGAAGGAACACTCAGCATTCCTCTTTTGATGAAATTTGGGCTTTGCCATGTTTGACAAAACTCTAGGTTTCAAGTCCTTTAATACTTAGGGTTAGAATACTTCCCTCTCACACTGTTGTTATCTGCCATGTTGAAGGAATGGTTTTACAAGTACCTCTTAATGAGTTTCCATAGCCAAGTGTGGATATGAATCCAGGTTTCCTGAGTTGTGATCTGTCAGTCTGCCATATTATACTATATTAGGCTCTCACCTATACCCAAATCATATTTGTTTGGTATGTCTGTTTGCTTTATGATCTATGACCTAAATCCATATTATATTAGTGGAGTGCAAATTTCTGCTGGCAGAGTTACACTAGAGCAGGGGTCTCCAAACTATGGTCTGCGGACCACATCCAGCCTGTCTTGCCATTTTATCTGGCCTTTTCCCTTCAGCCTGTGCACATGCATGTGCAGGAGAGTGGGCCGCCAGGGATACGTGTGGGGGGGGGCAGGATGTGGGTGTTTGGGCAGGCAGGGGCGCATGTGTGTGTGCATATCCGGGCAGGCAGGTGTCCATGTGTGCAGCTGCCCGGGTGGGCACACGCGTGCATGTTCCTTTGGTCCCCCACAATGTGGAAAATACTGTATACAATGTGGCCCTCGTGCTCAAATGTTTGGAGACCCCTGCACTAGAGTATGGCATTGCAAGTGTTCAGTCTTGTTCATAGAACAGAAATGGCATTGAATGCCTCTCTTGTGCTAACTGTGTAATAATGTATCTGCTGGGTCAATGATATTAATGAATGTAGGCCACTACATTCTGATACACTATTATGATAGTTATTCTAAGTGTTACATAATTTTCATCATGTTAAGAAGATAAAACTACTTCAAATTTAGGCTAACTCATTTACATTTCTTATGTAGTGGTACATGATTACTATAGTGCATATCTATAACCGTTGGAAGAACAGTGAGCTGAGATGTTATGTGAACGGGGAATTAGCATCTTATGGAGAGATAATATGGTTTGTCAATACAAGTGATGTAAGTAACAGAATGGTTCAAAATGTTCCCTGTTTCTCTCCTTTCCTTTCTCTCTTACTACTTTGTTGAAACTGAAATTGGTAATTTGAATTGTTTTTAAACATCCTGTTATTATTCTCACAACTCTTCTGATTGTTGCTTTTTTCCGGGTAATGATTTTATTTTAGAAGATCTAAAATTTGAACTTGCCCTATATGTAAATAAACAAAAAAGTCATCATTCTCTTTTCTAAACTAGGCACCTTTTCATGGTTTCTCGGTCACAATGACTAAAATGAATTAACTTCCTTATTTCAGCCATAGCTATGCACTCATGATATGAGAACAAAACACCCTTTATGAAATACTGTTTTTATGAACAGTGGTTATAAGTCATCGATTCTACATCTTTGTACATAAGTTTTGGAGGACTGAATCTGTGATATGTTTGATTCCCAGATTATGAAATTAGCTGAAAGTTATTTTGCATTCAAAATATTGTTTTAAAATTCAGAATGGATGTTATCCATGCACTTTTTTCCTTTTCATTAAATAGTGTGCTTTTGTCTATAATTTCATGCATTTACCCTTAATGTACTGATTTTCTACTGGAAAAAGAAAAGGCCTACTTCAGCATTTGGCAGCATTTGGGTTGTTCCATGATACGTGAATTAGGCACATCCAAGTGAAAATTCCATCCAAATGAAATTCTTCCCTATTCTTAGTCTATTCATAAGAAAAGTGCCTTGTGTAAAATTCTGCCCCAGTAGATTTTCTTCTGAATGGCAACAGCTCTCCAAGGCCTCAGGCAGAGCACTGTTTCACTATAAGCTTTAAAATAGAAATGCTGGGGATTGCTTTAGCACTGAGGAAGAGGGTTTCTCCACCCTCTTACAGATACTGAGAACAGCTGATGACAAAAGTTTCATTACAGCCAAATCAAATTTTGCATGTTATTTCCTTAGTCCAAAACTGAATGGGTAACAGCTGTACATGGTGGAGTATAATTGGCCTAGAGAGTTTCCTCATTTACGTCAGTGTCAGAGTCCCATATAAGTGCGTAATAGAATCTTATAACATTTAAAGTGGTTAACTCTTCTGCTACAGAATTCCATGTTTGTGTGACTTGGGTGTATGTCTTTCCATTTCTAAAGGCTTTGGTAACATTGACCTGATTTTATTATAACATAGCTGTGTATTTTGGGTTTTTCCTCTTTAGACATTTGACAAATGTTTCCTGGGCTCTTCAGAAACAGCAGATGCCAATAGAGTGTTTTGTGGTCAGATGACAGCTGTTTATCTTTTCAGTGAAGCACTCAATGCAGCTCAGATTTTTGCTATTTATCAACTTGGTCTGGGATACAAGGTATTTATAATTTAATGGTATAGAGGTATTTCTGCATTTCAGTGGAACTGAAGATCTTTAGCTAGTTATAAAAACTGTCCCCTCAAAATGATTTTTAAATGCTCTAATCTGTTTTTGTGTATAGCGTCTGTAATACATCTGGGTAAATGGTGAAGCAAGAACAAATTAAAGCTAAAATTCTCACAGTATAAAACTGGTGCTTTTTGGATATAGCCATAAAATTCAACCAATAAAATAAAAAAATAAAA